TTGGAGATAGCTGAGCTTGAGAGATTTTCCAATGAGATAAGATGGAGCAGAATTGGAGAAAAGAGAAGTTCCTATGGTGAAGTGGTTAAAAGCTGGGGACCTGGGTTTGAATTCCAGTTGTGACAGCGATTGTGCCCTTTGCCAAGGCTGTGAGCAAGACTTGCTGTGACGACCCCTGAATATCGGTGCTTCTGAAACATTACGTACACATTGTTAGCGTAAAGAAGCCTATTCATCTGTCAAATTCAACTCTTTCCCAAATTTTGTGGTGGTGGTGTTTTGCGGGTCTTGCGGCCCAAAGTTGTTGAAGTCATATGTCATCTAAGACTGAACATCACTTTATTGCAGAGCTATTTCGGTTAGAAAAAGTTCTGTCAACTGTGCCGCCATGTTTGCCCAGGGAGAGGGATTGCTGTAGAGTCAGTGAGTCAATGTAAACACCTGGGTTTTACATAAACTTTTACCAAATCCCCTTATCATTGATTGAATGTGTCTGTATTAAATTAAATTTGAATATGTCTATGTGATTAATTACATTTTTAGGTAAACTAGCCCTTCGATTATACGTGTCCTTTAAGTTAAATGTATAGTGAATCTTTTTGAAAAGAGCTTTTGAATTTCCTTTGTTGTCCTCCTTTTTTTCCTTCTTAGCACAGCTTGACGAAACAGGTTCACGAGATATGTTTTTTTTTTTATGAACTGTAACAGAAATTTACAGACGCCAGGTTGCCAACACTTGAATAATACTTAATTATTATGATTAGTGTAAATGAACCAAACTTAAAACACGAATGGACTAGTTGCAGGAGGAGGGGTCTTTTTTCACAAGTTATATTTCCATCCAAATGAGATTAAAATATTAATTGAACCTTAAAAAAAGTGGACCAAAAATTAAAATGTGACTTGGTCGTGTTTCCATCCGTTGGAGTGAATTAAAAAGGTGATCCAAAGAGTAATATTGCATTAAATAAAGGTAATGCTTTCTGTAGCAAACAGGAAGTAGAGTTCGTTACCTGCCACAAACCACAGATGAGTGATGGACCAATGTATAGGGAGGTAAATATTCTCTACGTTAGAAGTTATTTTAAAAATGTGTTTCAATCTGTTCTTATGCTTTTTTTTTTAAAGGAAAAAAATCACTTCAAGCAAACATAAAAACTTCTTTGCAAAATTTCGTGATTCCATCAAGCTCCTTTAATGTAATACTTCAAATTGCACAAAAAAGGCTGATGGAAACACATCTACTCACTGATCTATTCACTGAGCCACATGTGTCTGTTAAGTAATCAAAATTGCTGATAATAACAATAATGGGAAATAAAGAGTTCTTAGAAATTTTCTGCTATCCTATCATGTATTTTCTGTACCCAGTCAATGTTCCTGGTCCCCTGCATGCACTAAAGGATTCTTCTCCATCACAGGGCAGCACAGAAACAATATTGTGTAATTTCAAATGGATAATTAAACTAAAAAGCATGTTTGAAAAGAAGTTGGACTTACAAGGGTGAAAAATTTAGAATCCACATTATTTTAGAAGTATTTCCCCTGTATGGGTGTTGTTTGATCTCTCTTCTGTAAAGTTTCATCAGGATCTCACATTTCTTTCCACATTCCCAAAATAGCCTATCAAAGCTCAATGGCCATTCTGAGGTCCTGTTCCAACTCCAGGCAAATGCAGCCCAAATCAAATAAATTTGGGGTCAAGTGATCAAGTCAGGTTTTTTAAAGCAAGTCAGTTCAATTCAGGGATCCTGAATCTGACTTGCATCTGATATTTTGGAATCCTTCACCAGGGAGAAAAACCAAGATCAAAACTTTGATGTCACTTTCCAAAATTATTTTTACACTTTGCTGAAATATCAGGAAATAGTGATAGTTAGCAAAACACACAAGGGGCTAGAATAGTTCTGCAGAGTGGAGAAACAGCATTATATTTTGTTAATAAACAGAAACAAAACTTTATTCATGCCTAATTGTAAGGCACCGTCTCAGGAACCATCCCGAGTGGCGCATAGCTTGTATTGAACATTTCATATACAACCCTTCAAACAGAGGACTTAAAAATGTTATTGCAATGGAGTCAGATTGGTCAGCGATCTTGTCATGAGTTCCCCCTGCCTCAGATCATCACAAGGATTGTATTAAGTCTTTTACCTATAGATTTGAAAGAAGAGGCACTGACAAATAAGATTAAAACTAACCTTTGAAATCATACAGTTCTGTACAGTTGTTGACATTCCTGGTCTACAATTGCTGGCTGCTTCACCTCATTCAAACAACCCATTTTCCTGAAATGGCAGTAAGATCTCCCTAAAATGCTACTATAGATTTTAGATCTTCTTTTAATAAAATGTTTGCCACACAGTACTCCTTAAAACAACAAATGGCTTGTTAACTTAAACCATAACCCCTACTTATCTGTGTTTACTGTTGTACGATTGATAAGTACATCAGTTTCGAGCCCAAAGCAGTTCACACTAAAATCAAATCTAGACAACAATTTATTTATTTATTTATTTTTTTCTTTAAATCAGATTTCAGGAAAAAAAAAAAAAAAAGATTTGAGCATTTAAACATGTAGTGGGTCAAAATGAACTGGACAAGTGTGACTTAGAGCAAGAATAGTTTGTCTGTTAATATCTGTGTCGGCTTTATGATGGACTGGAGACCTCTGCAACGTAAACCAATCCACTAATCAGGTGATAGCTGGATTCACCTCCAAAATAGTATGTAGAATTTACAGAAACTGGATGAAAGGAAATATCTGCCTTAAGGGATTCTATCATTATAGAAGTTTAGGTTGACTTGTCTTGTTGAAAAACCAGTGAACTTAAAGAATGGAAGATGACAAAAATATAAACCTGATCATTAAAGGTCAGCTGGTTCCATATCTAAGATAATGTTCTATATTGATAATGTTCACATCCTGCTGCCCTATACCTTTCAGAAACAGCCCTTTTGTCATGATCCTAATCAAAACAAATAGGTCCTTAGCAGGTTTCTGCAGATGCAGAATGCAGAAGGCAGCATGCTACGGAGAAAATGTAAAACACCCACACGTCTCTGTTTTGTTTTTTTTTGTTTTTCTGTTATTGTCGTTTTTAACAGCCATAGAGCAAAAAGAAAGAAATAGGGAATTGCACTTTGCATCATCATGAAAGATGAAAAGACATTCTCATAAGGACATAGTCCGGAGAGGAATGGGGTTGATTGAAAGGGCTAAATATACCTAATATTTAATGCCTTTTGTTATGTTAAATTTGGAGAGCACAAAAACTTAAATCAAATTTCTAGACATTTCTTTTGGTTTTCATGGAGGCCGGATGTCTGGAGAGTTAATTCATATAGCATGCAGTAAGGTGGGCTCAAAGTTCTGAGGTTTAGGCCGAATCAAATCTAGACCTCTATAAATATTAGGTATAGGGTCATTACTGTATCAAAGGAAAATCTGTGAAAAGGATTGTGATCAATTATAAAATCAATAAATTAATTAGATTCACGAGTACTGAAAAACAGACTATATGCTTGGCTTGGTTACTTTTGGGTGCTGTTTGGTGGTTTAAATGCACCAGTTAATACAACTAATGAACTGCAGCACCAGGATCAGACTATGTTTGATAATTTTCTTTGTGTAAGGAAAGCTTTGACTGTGTGCGGAGTTTTTAAAACCTTTTATTGTCACTTTTATTTTTATTGCTGTAAATGTTCCAAAATTTTCTGTAAAAATTTTAAGTCTACAATGCCCATCCTTAAAAGGCTTATATCTGTGTAGGACTGACAGTTTAATCATCAAACATGATGCAGTGACAAAGCATATACTTTATAAACAAAAGTCTAAAGAGTTCTCATAAACATTCGATCAATATGATTTTAAATACATTTTAAAGTCAGAGGGTGTGCATATATCTCTTTTTTTTTTACTTCGTCTTCCAGAATTTCAAAATTTAAAATCCTCCGTTGCAATGCTGTATGTAGGAGTGTAAGTGTGGAATCCGTATAACTTCCCTTACAAAGGCGTTTAAACGATGTGCATGTATACACAAAACCATAATTTTCAATGGAACTTAAAAGCTACAGCAACATACACTGAACCTTTCTCAGAAACACACACAAGTACACAAAAGGAATTCCCTTTGTCAATACCTCCTCCTCCAGGAAACTTAAACCAAACACCTAGACATACGCATACACTCAGCTTGAGTCATGACAAATGTGTAGAGAAGGAACACTGCTAGAATCTGCAAAGCTACATCAAGTGCTACAACAATCTGAGCTCCTGGCTGTCTAAATCTTCTTATGAAGCAGCACACACTCAGAAAATAACTCCCACACCTGCAGTAAAGCAAATCCCTGTACCCAAATATGCACTATCCATTTCCCCAAGATTTCTATCCCTCTCTCACACACACACACTCACGCACCAACACAAAGGCTTAGGTGCACAGCGAGTAAAGGAACATATCTCCATTGTCAGTAGAAATAAGTGACTCTGCTGCCGAACACATAAACAAAATCCAAGGATGCACGTGTACTCACGCATGTGAGCTCGCACTGCACTCTGCCTCTGCTCTTTTTGTAGAAATCAACAGAATGCAGAGAGTAACAAATGATAAGTAATGATAAGAGGAGCTTGAGTTGTTTTTTAAATCTGTTCTCATCTTTGCTGCTTCTGACTTTGCCATCGCTATGGTGATGCTGAGAGGAGGCTGCTGGGTAGATTTCTGTACTATCTGCCATCAGGACACAGAACTGAGTCACACATACCACATCTACAACATCCCTCTTCCTGTTGCCCTCTGTGCTGACTCTCATCCAACCCCCCCCCCCCCCCCCCCC